TGGATTAAAGATTTACTAAACATGACCCCGCCCATCAGAACAAGACCAAATTTCCCCGTCACTCAGTCTCTCCCATTAGGAAGCTTCCATAAGCTTCTTATCCTTATCCATCAGAGGGCAGACAGAATGAAAACCACAGTCACAGAAAACCAATCAAACTGATCACATGGACCACAGCCTTGTCTAACTCAATGAAACTATGAGCCATGCCATGTAGGGCCACCCAAGACAGACAGGTCATGATGGAGAGTTCTGACAAAACATGGTCCACTGGAGAAGGGAATGGCAAACCACTTCAGTATTCTTGCCTTGAGAACCCCATGAACAGTATGAAAAGGCAAAAAGATAGGACGCTGAAAGATGAACTCCCCAGGTTGGCTGGTGCCCAATATGCTACTTGAGATCAGTGGAGAAATAACTCCAGAAAAAATGAAGAGACAGAGCCAAAGCAAAAACGACACCCAGTTGTGGATGTGACTGATGATTTAAGTAAAGTCTGCTGCTATAAAGAACAATATGCATAGGAACCTGGAATGTTCGGGGTATGAATCAAGGTTAATTGAAAGTGGCCAAACAGGAGATGGCAAGAGTGAACATTGACATTTTAAGAATCAGCGAACTAAAATGGACTGGAGTGGGTGAATTTAACTCAGCAGGGTATTGGGTTTTGTCAAATGCTTTTTTGCACCAACTGAGTTTATCACATAGGTTTTGTCCTTTATTCTGTTAATATGATGGGTTACATGGATTGATTTTTGGATGTTAAATTGACCTTGTGTTCATGGGATCAATCATACTTGGTCATGGTGTATAATCCTATTTATAGATTGCAGAATTGGCTTGTAAGATTTCATCAAGGATTTTTGCATCTATATTCATGAAGGATATTGATCTGTAGCTTACAGCAAAATATTTATTGAGCAACTTACAAATCAGGCATTGTTCTAGGTATTGGGGATTCTGCAATTTTTCAGAAGAGATTTTATTTTCAGAATATATATATGATAAATATGTATATAAATATGATAGCATATATATTTTCTCTCATGGAATTTACATCCAGGTGGGTGACTAGCGATGCAGCTCCCCACTCACATCTGATGTTTTTTTCCTCTACTCTCTCAACAATGCCCCAGGTTCCCGCTTCAGTGCCTGTGTGCCTGACTCTTAGAAAACTGAATGGTCAGTGTCTGGAGATTGGAAGGGGCCTACTTTCCATTTTAAGTTACTGTTCCTTTTTCCCCCTTTAATGGAAATGTTAACTGAATGATAACATCCATACCGAGAAGTGCACACACTTATGTACCCTTTTATGTCTAGGTCCTTTCACTCAGTATTATCTGTTCGAGATGCATCCACATGGCTGTGTGTTGTCGTAGTTTATTCATCTCGTTATTGTAGGCATGTGTTTCAATGCACTCTGTTCATCATCATCACAGATCATGTATTTTTTTTTTTTTACAAACCGAAGGCTTGTGACAAACCCTATGTTGTCAGATGATGGTTAGAATATTTTAGCAGTTTTTAAAATTACTTATTAATTTATTTGGCAGTGCCGAGTGTTAGTTGCAGCACGTGGGATCTTCAGTCTTCATTGCGGCATGCAGGATCTTCTGTTGTGGCATGTGGGATCTATTTCCGTGACCAAGGATCAGACCCAGGCCCCCAGCATTTGGGAGAGACTTAGGCATTAGACCCGGAGAAGGCAATGGCACCCCACTCCAGTACTCTTGCCTGGAAAATCCCATGGACGGAGGAGCCTGGTAGGCTGCAGTCCATGGGGTCACGAAGAGTCGGACATGACTGAGCGACTTCACTTTCACTTTTCACTTTTATGCATTGGAGAAGGAAATGGCAACCCACTCCAGTGTTCTTGCCTGGAGAATCCCAGGGATGGGGTCGCACAGAGTCGGACACGACTGAAGTGACTTAGCAGCAGCAGTAGCAATAGGCATTAGACCACCAGGGAAGTCAGCAATAAAGTACTTTTTAATAAAAGTATACCTACATTTTTTTTTAAGAAATAATGCTGTTGCATATAGTAGACTACAGTATAGTGTAAACATAACTTTTATATACACTGGGAAACAAAAAAACTAAAATCATCTGACTCACTTTATTGTAACATTTGCTTGATTGCGGTGGTCTGAACGCACATCTCCGTGTCTATAGTATTGCACTGTATGAATATTCCACAGTTAGCCCATTCTGCTGTAAATGGACATTTGGATTACTCCCTGTTTGGGGCTGTTACTGAACAGTACTGCTATGCACATGTGTGGCTCTGTCCTTACGCAAACATCTGCTCTCCTCTGGGCTGGATACCCAGGAGTGGAATGGGTCTCTCAAAGGGTATGTTTAAGTTCAGTTTTAGTAGATTCTGCCAGTTTACACAGAGGGATGTACAAAGCGGGCTCCCCCAGCAACAGATAGTAACTCCAGGTGCCGAACACCCTGTAGCACTTGTAAGGAACCTACTGGTATCACATTATGATTTCAGTTGGCATTTCTGTAGCATCTAATGAAATTAAGCAGGAGATCCTATTCATTTTAAATATGACAGTTAAACAGAACAATCTGTCTACCCCAGGTCTTTTTTTTCCCCACAGACACTGCAGCTTTCTTAGGTATCCCTTTTATGCTAGTAGTAAAATCAAGAGGTCATTACTGTCTTGACATCTTCGATAGCCCCTGACTGGCTTTATATTTCCCCAGTAAGAAGAAGAAAATTGACTCAGGGAAATCAGTCAACACCCCCCGGGACCGAGTGCCTTCATATCAGTATAACATGAATTTTGAGAAGGTGGGCAAATGCATCATCATAAACAACAAGAACTTCGACAGAATAACAGGTGGGTGCTGGGGTCATGGGCTCAGCTCTTCTGTTCCCTTCCACTTTCTTCAGCTTCGTTCAGACTTATATGATGCATTTGTCAGCAGACCTCTATGTCTACCTGCTATAGCAGACAGCCCCTCTGCAGGTGGTGTCACGTGTTCAGGAGAGAGGGATGAGGGAAAACTGGGAACTTTCAGTTTGAGATTCCCATCATGTGGATTAGCAGATGTGAGACTTGGACCAAAGGACTCAGAAGGTGAAGCAGTGGGGCGGGCTGTTTGGCGTTGGCTGAGCCAGGTGGTGGGGCTTCCCATGTGGTGCTAGTGGTAAAGAATCTGCCTGCCAATGCAGGAGCCACAGGAGATGCAGGTTTGATCCCTGGATGGGGAAGATCCCCTGGAGGAGGAAATGGCAATCCACTCCAGTATTCTCGCCTGGAGAGTCCCCATGGACAGAGACGCCTGGTGGGCTGCAGACCATGGGGTAGCAAAGAGTCGGACCTGACCGAGCATGAGTCCAAGCCGCATGAAGAGGCTTACCTTTTGCGGGGGTGGGGGGGGGTGGTGCTCACCTTTTGTGTATGTGGTGGCCATCGGTGAAGTCAGCTCTTGATCCCCACAGGAATGGGTGTCCGCAATGGCACAGACAAAGATGCAGAGGCTCTTTTCAAGTGCTTCCGGAGTCTGGGTTTCGATGTGTCTGTCTATAACGACTGCTCTTGTGCCAAGATGCAAGATCTGCTGAAAAAAGGTACACTCATGCCCCTCCTCCTTCAGTCATCTTCCTGCTCCCGAGCAGAGCAGGGCCCCACCTGATCTGAGAAGCTGCCTTCACATGACGGGGGGAAGGATCTCAGCATGGGAAGCCTTTCCTTCCTCCAGGTGACTCCATACCTGTCTCCAGGACACCTGTCTCTCTCGGTAAACTTAGATCTCCCCCTAAAAGGAGGAAAGCAGCTTACCTCACAGCAATAGGTTCTATACCCACAGAACAGTCTCAATTTCAAAAGGCTAATTCCTTGGAAAGTAGCAAATTTTACCTTTCTGTCCAGAACAGAGTTTAAGCATAAATTTTCACTGGTGACAGATAGAGAATAATAATCCCCATACACTTCAGAACTACCTTATTTCTTACACAACACATTCACAGAATTGCTTCTTTAGATCCTTAATGGAACCCCTGCCGTGTTGGCCAACAACATCATCATGCCCATTTCATAGATGTAGGGATAGAGCTTTAGAGAGAGTATAAGGGTCATACTGAAGGCAGTTAGGAGGAGCAGAACCAAAACTCAAGCATTAACAAGTTCCAGAACAACTATGTTTTCTATTACCCCACACCTATCTAGTGGAAGCTACCTATGATATTCTCATATTAGGGCAAATAATTGAAAGTAACACCCTCCCAGCCTGTTAGACAGTGACGCATGGGCAGAGGGTAGACAGTTTCAAACACTGCTGCTTTTCTTAGATGTGCAGCTAAACAAGGAAAAGATCCCTCCCCCCACCTTATAACACTCTCTCTTAAGTACCCTTCTCTAACATTTTTAAAAACCAGGCATCTTTTCCTTACTTCTTCAAACAAGGATCTTAAGAGCCGACCTTCGGTACCCTAGTAGGCAGACTGGAAATCACAAGTACATGTTTGGGGTCTAGTCCAAGTTTGAGCAGCTGGGTGAGCAAGGCAGGGTGTCTGTGCCCTCCTGGCTTTTTGCTTTCCGGAAATGTGGATCATGATATAGCAAGTCCTGCTTCTTGGGGTTGCAGTCAGCATTAGCTGAGGGAAAGCTTGTGAGCTTGATTTGAGAAGGGTAATGTCCTATACAGATGTAAGGACTTGTCCCAATGGTAGTTTCTGTTCTTATGAAAAGTGAGTTATACTGGGACTTCCCTGGAGGTCAGGTGGCTAAGACTGCATGCTCCCAAAGCAGGGGGCCCAGGTTCGATCCCTGGTCAGGGAATTATTTCCCACATGCCACAACTAAGTCTTCATATGCCACAGCTAGAGAACTTCCACATTCCACAAGGAAGATCGAAGATCCCACATACTGCTAGGATTCCACACAGCCAAATAAGTAAATAAAAATAAATATTTTTTAAAAAGCAGATTATTCCACCTGAGCCCAGGTCATGTCAGGATCACAGAATTCTCATTTATTGTCCTATCAAAATAGCAAGGTGGTGATTTCTCTTGACAGGGCAAAGTTCTAGGACATCTCTGAGATGCCATTTTTTATCAGTGAAATAAAAATAAATGAGGCCTACTTCAAGGGGCTCTTGTAGAGGTTAAGTAAGATAACTTGGGCAAAGTACCTAGATCACTGCTGTAGTAGGTGTTCAGGAAATTCTTTTACTAGTATTATTTTTTTGGCCACATCGCAGCTTGTGGAATTTTAGCTCCTCAACCAGGAATCAAGCCCAGGCCCTCAGCAGTCAGAGCATGGAGTCCTAACCACTCAACTTCCGGGGAATTAAGAAATTCTGAATCTTACTCTTCTCTCATCACTGATGAAGAGAAGAGAAGAAGAAAGTTTATAGTACATAGTTCTAGCTAGCTAGTTAGTTAGAACCATGGAACCTTAGATGAGATCAAGCTAAGCCAACTTATTGGGGATTCCCAGGTGGCGCTAGTGGTAAAGAACCCGCCTGCCGATGCAGGAGAGACATAAGAGATCCACATTTGATCCTGGTCGGGAAGATCCCCTGGAGGAGGAAATGGCAACCCACTCCAGGAACGTGCTGGGCTACAATTCATGGGATCTCAAAGAGTCGGACACTACTGAACGACTAACACTTTCTTTTCTTTTCAGTAAAAGTAATAGATTCACATTGTTTGGTAACCGCCACCACCCGCCTCCAGAAGAACTCTTTTCATCTTGCACAACTGAAACTCTGTTCCCATGAAACCCTAATGCCCCATTTCCCATCCCCTCAACCCCTGGTAGCCACCATTCTGCTTTCTGCCTTGGTGAACCTGATCACCCCAGGAACCTCATGTACATGAAATCATAGAGCGTCTTTTCTTTAGCCAGTGTCTTGTTTCACTTAGTTTGTTTTATTTTCTCTAACAAATACTTGCTTGATACTCATGTGCTGCTTTGCAACTATCAACCCATTTAATGGGTAGCTCCATTTCACAGACAAGAAAACCAAGACACAAAATAGTTAAGCAGCTTGCCCCGTGTCACAGACCTAACCAAGGCCCTGGCCTTTAGCAGCCCAATATGCTGCCTCCCAGGAGCTGCCTGAAGCCCTCTTGCCTGTGGGATTCTCTTCCACGTGAGGCAGCCTCATTCTGGTTTCAGACTCAGTGGGGATTCTAGAATTCTCCCTCCAACCTCTCCCCAGTATCTTCCAGGGGTGCTCCTCCACCTCTGCCTGTCTCTCTTCGTCAGTGGCAGCTGCCAGACTGAAAGGGAATAGTACTTCTGAGGTCCCACACCCAGGAGTCATATTTTAACTTTTCAATGTTTCAATTGCTTGCAGCTTCTGAAGAGGACCACAGAAATTCAGCCTGCTTCGCCTGCATCTTATTAAGTCATGGAGAAGAAAATTTAATTTATGGAACAGATGGCAAGACAGCAATAAAGGACTTGACAGCCCATTTTAGGGGGGATCGATGCAAAACCCTGTTAGAGAAACCCAAACTCTTCTTCATTCAGGTAATCCGTTTTCGGAGTCTATAGAGACTTCCCTGGTGGTCCAGTGGCTAAGACTCTGCCTTCCCAATGCCGGGGGCCCAGGTTCAATCCCTGGTCAGGGAACTGGATCCCACATGTCATAACTAAGTGCAACTAAACTGCAACTAAGACCCAGCACAGACAAATAAATTAATTTTCTTTAACTATTAAAAAAAAAATAAAAAAACAAAGTCAATAGAAATGAAAAAAGATTACAGAGTGACTTGCCTTGTATCATTTTTTACAAATCTACATGCTGTTTCCATTGGGGTATGCAAATTTAGGTTGTATTTTTCTACCTCTAATGCTTGGCATTTATACTGGCATTGGATCACAAAGTATCTGAGTTTAAGACATTATAGTCTCTTTATTTGCTCTGCTTGCTAATTCAACACATCTTCAGATTATCTTGGACATCATTGTGTTGCTGGTACATGCCAAGCACAGTTCTGAGACTGCAGTGGGTTACAGCTATGAATAGCACACATGTTCCTATTCTCAGCTTCATGCAGCCATCTCTGCTTTGATTTTAGGCTTGCCGGGGAACAGAGCTTGATGACGGGATCCAGGCTGACTCAGGACCTATCAATGACACAGATGCCAATCCCCGATACAAGATCCCAGTTGAAGCCGATTTTCTCTTTGCCTATTCCACAGTTCCAGGTATCAAGTCCCTTGTCTGCTAACCAGACTGTGCATCCCACCTTCGGAATGGAGACTTGGAGCTGTGTTAGTTTCCCATTGCGGCAGTGATAAATTGCCCCGCAAACATGGTGGCTGAACACACACAAATGTATTATCTTACAGTTCCAGAGGTCAGAATTCCAGAATGGGTTGGCAGGACAGCAGTTCCTTCTAAAGACTGTAGGGGGGCGCAAATCCACATCCTTGCTTTCCCAGCATTTTTAGAACTGCCTGCACTCCTTGGCCTGTGGCCTCCTTCCTCTAGCTTCAAAGCCGGCAGCCTCACATCCCTGACCCTCCTTCCAACCTTACATTGTTCTTTCTGACCCTCTTATAAGGGCTCCTGTGATTAGATTATCCCATCTGGATAATCCCAGGATAATTTCCCCATCTTGTTTCCTTGACCTCAACCCCATCTGTGAAGTTCTCTAGGGCAGCAGTTCCCAGCCTTTTTGGCACCAGGAACATGACTCGTGGAAAACAGTTTTTCCATGGACCAGGGTGGGGGTGGATGGTTTCCAGATGATTCAGGCACGTTACATGTACTGTGCACTTTATTTCTATTATTATTACATCAACTCCACCTCAGGTCATCAGGCATTAGATCCTGAGGACCCCTACTTTATGGCATGAGCATTTCTGAGGGCCACTGTTCTGCTTACCATGGGGATACAGTCACTTTTCTCTCCAAGAGAAAGCTGAATTCTCTCATTTATGATGATGATTATTATTGGTAATTATAAGAACAAGCATGTCTATGGCACCTATTTACTGAGTGTTGTTCCTGTCTTTTACCCTGAAATAATTGTGTAGTAGTTAGGAAAGGTGTTATTTCTGTCCTAATTTTACAGATAGAAAAAAAATTGAGCTTGAGTAAGTTTAAGTGACCTGCCCAAGGTCATACAGGGATTTTCATACATAATAGAGTTATAGCTCAGACCAGAATTCCTTTATACAATAGCCTGTAAACAGGCACCAGAAATGCCAGCGGCAAGCAAGCCTCCCTCTTGTTTGGGTTTGCCTGAGCAAGTTCAGTGAAGTTCCATTGTTTGGGGTCAAAACCATCACTCAGAATTCTCCCAGCTGTAGTAGTACTTTGTCCAGGGCTTGGTATAGAAGTATCGGTTACAGTAAGTTGGCTGTTGTGTTTGGAAAACCAACTCTGGCAAGATGTACAGATGGGATTTTGTGAGAATGAGAACTTCACAAGTTTTAAAAATCCTGTAAGAAGGAAATTTGGTTCCTGCCCTTGAGAGGAAGGTATAGTCATGGGAGCATATAGTTGTGCAATCCAACCTGTCAGTCGAGTTGGAAAGACCCTAAGCTAGGTCTGGCAGAACTGGAGGAAGAAGGGTGAATACTAAGGCTGAACTCTAGGGAAGCAGGTGAGAGAGGTTTCCTAGGAAAGAACTTCTGTAACCGAGTCTTAAAAAATCAAATAACAGGATGAAGGGCATGATGGCTTATCAGACAGAGTGCCCAGGGGCAGGTGTCTCAATGCATTGGTAAAACTCAAGAGCTGGACCACAAGATATATTAGTCTTTTCAGGCAGCTGTAACGTGAGTCCACAGGCTGGGGAGCAGAAGTTCATTTTTCACAGTTCTGGAGGTTGAGATCAAGGTGCCAGGCATTGTGGCTTCTGATGAGAGCTGTTATCCTAGCTTGTAGATCACTGCCTCTTCACTCATGTGGCCCAGGGAGGGGAGAGAGGCCATAGCACAGGGTGTGACTGGGCATGTTTTTGTTGTTGTTCATTAGCCAAGTTGTGTCCAACTGTTCATGACTGCAGGACTGGGCATGAACAAGTTTCAAACCTAGACAGGGAAATGGGGGCCCAATTGCGGTGGGCCCTGCAGGATGTCCTAAGTAGCCTAAATTTCACCCTCATACAGAAGGAACTGTTTTAGGTGAGAGAGGGACGTTGACTTAAAAAATATTCACAACCTAAAACTTGAGAGTTATGTTTTATTACATGGAAATTTTTAGGACTTAAGCCCGGGAGATAGCATCTCAAGTAATCTTGGGAAAACTCCAAGGAGACAAGGGAAGGAGCCAGGTTATATAGAAGTTGTATAACTTCTATATGCAACAAAGGACAGGTAGTTTGAACATCAAAAGACCATTGTTAATTAAAGAAAACCAGATAACCCAAATTAATGTAGTGCTTTTCTCTATGTATGGGAAGATGTGACAGTCTGAGCTGCCTGAAATCACTCCTTTCATATGCATCAACTATTGGGGCCAGTACCCTGTGTTTTTCACAACCTGAGCTCCCTTGAGGCTCACCATCGGAAGTGGCTGCAGTCTGATGGCTGCTAGATCACAGGTATTCTTCTCCTTCCTGAGTGCCCTTTGGGCTCACCAGCTCACATTGGAGGGCTGCAGTCACTGATGACTATGACATCCTTGTTTACTGATATGGCAGGAAATATTCCATTTCTCAGGGACAACATGAGATTTGTGTTTTAGAATGATTCCCGGTAGTACAGAGTTTGGAGGACACATATCCCATAGATGGGATTTTGTGAGAATGAGAACTTCACAAGTTTTAAAAATCCTGTAAGAAGGAAATTTGGTTCCTGCCCTTGAGAGGAAGGTATAGTCATGGGAGCATATAGTTGTGCAATCCAACCTGTCAGTCGAGTTGGAAAGACCCTAAGCTAGGTCTGGCAGAACTGGAGGAAGAAGGGTGAATACTAAGGCTGAACTCTAGGGAAGCAGGTGAGAGAGGTTTCCTAGGAAAGAACTTCTGTAACCGAGTCTTAAAAAATCAAATAACAGGATGAAGGGCACGATGGCTTATCAGACAGAGTGCCCAGGGGCAGGTGTCTCAATGCATTGGTAAAACTCAAGAGCTGGACCACAAGATGTATTAGTCTTTTCAGGCAGCTGTAACGTGAGTCCACAGGCTGGGGAGCAGAAGTTCATTTTTCACAGTTCTGGAGGTTGAGATCAAGGTGCCAGGCATTGTGGCTTCTGATGAGAGCTGTTATCCTAGCTTGTAGATCACTGCCTCTTCACTCATGTGGCCCAGGGAGGGGAGAGAGGCCATAGCACAGGGTGTGACTGGGCATGTTTTTGTTGTTGTTCATTAGCCAAGTTGTGTCCAACTGTTCATGACTGCAGGACTGGGCATGAACAAGTTTCAAACCTAGACAGGGAAATGGGGGCCCAATTGCGGTGGGCCCTGCAGGATGTCCTAAGTAGCCTAAATTTCACCCTCATACAGAAGGAACTGTTTTAGGTGAGAGAGGGACGTTGACTTAAAAAATATTCACAACCTAAAACTTGAGAGTTATGTTTTATTACATGGAAATTTTTAGGACTTAAGCCCGGGAGATAGCATCTCAAGTAATCTTGGGAAAACTCCAAGGAGACAAGGGAAGGAGCCAGGTTATATAGAAGTTGTATAACTTCTATATGCAACAAAGGACAGGTAGTTTGAACATCGAAAGACCATTGTTAATTAAAGAAAACCAGATAACCCAAATTAATGTAGTGCTTTTCTCTATGTATGGGAAGATGTGAGAGTCTGAGCGGCCTGAAATCACTCCTTTCATATGCATCAACTATTGGGGCCAGTATCCTGTGTTTTTCACAACCTGAGCTCCCTTGAGGCTCACCATCAGAAGTGGCTGCAGTCTGATGGCTGCTAGATCACAGGTATTCTTCTCCTTCCTGAGTGCCCTTTGGGCTCATCAGCTCACATTAGAGGGCTGCAGTCACTGATGACTATGACATCCTTGTTTACTGATATGGCAGGAAATATTCCATTTCTCAGGGACAACATGAGATTTGTGTTTTAGAATGATTCCCGGTAGTACAGAGTTTGGAGGACACATATCCCATATGAGTAAGTGGGGACTGCTGTCATTTCAGAAGAGCACATGTGAAGGCTCCAGTCACAGACAGCTCCTTCTGGGTAGTGAGCAAAGCAGCAGCCGGGTCAGCTGACTTCATCTCCTTTCTCTTCTCCTGTTGAAGGCTATTATTCATGGAGGAACCCAGGGAGTGGCTCCTGGTTTGTGCAGGCCCTCTGCTCCATCCTAAATGAGCACGGGAAGAGCCTGGAGATCTTGCAGATCCTCACCAGGGTGAATGACAGGGTGGCCAGGCACTTTGAATCCCAGTCTGATGACCCACGCTTCCACGAGAAGAAGCAAATCCCATGTGTGGTCTCCATGCTCACCAAGGAACTCTACTTCTGAAGATAACCATTCCAGGGGTGCATTCCAGCTGAGAAGCTACAAATCATTTGTTGATGAATCAGAAATTTTTTTTGTAATGCTCTCAAAAGATCCAGAAATTCTATAAGATTTTAATTTCAGGAAAATTATTGATTCAATGGGAAAGAAACTGGTGCTGTCTTAAGGTCTCTGAATTTTCAGAGACTTTTTTTTTACATTGTTAACTGTTTGATGACTTTTTCTCTCACGACTCATTTTCTGTTTGTCTTTCTCCTTGTTGTCGCACTTAGTACATACAACAAAAATGACCTCTGCAGATGACTTTTGACTGTGTCCACCGTGACTGGTGGTGACTTTGGTAGACTGTCAGAGTCATATTCGTACCTGGCAAAGAGAGTCCTTGACAAAAAACAGCCAAAGGGATGTTCATTTAGGGATGTTCATTTGCCTGTATTGCAGAAAGTGGGGTATCGAATGCAGTTTGAGTGAATTTTTCATTGACATAGGGAAGATTCTTGTGCAAAAATTCCCAGGTATGTTAAGAGGGGAAAAAAATAAAGTGATTCTAATATGTGGCAGTCAGGATCCAGTCAAGAAAACGGAAACCGTTTTAGGTATTTCAGTAGAGGGAATTTAATAGAGGAAATTGACATACGTAGATGATGAAAGAGAAGATAGATGAAAGGAAGCTGTAACCCAGGTGGCACTAGTGATAAAGAACCCGCCTGCCAATGCAGGAGATGTAAGACTCGGGTTCAATCCCTGGGTCAGGAAGATCCCCTGGAGGAGGGCATGGCAACCCACTCCAGTGTTGCCTGGAGAATCCCATGAACAGAGGAACCTGATGGGCTATAGGCCATAGAGTCACAGAGTCGGACACGACAGAGGTGACTTAACATGCATGTGCGTTGTCACATAGGCTTATGAGGAGGTGTGGTTCCTTAAGTCCAGAAACTGGGATCCTGCACAGGAGCTGGAACCATGGTGGGGCTGCCTGGTGGGAACTGGACCACCCGGGAGTTGTAGGAAATGAAGCAATGGCAGGGACAAAGCCACTGCCCAAGATGAAGCAACACCAGATGAGTCAGACATGGAAAAATTCCCTGATTTTTTCCACCTCTCCTCCTGCCCTGTAGTCTTCCTTCAACACCTTCCCCTTCCAGCTCTACCTGGAAGCCATCTGGCAAAGGCCCTGGGAAGTGTGATCTGCAATACAGAGCATAGCCAGGCATAGTGAGGCAGAGAAGGAATGAGAAATGGTTATGGGCCTGGCTGACAATGTGAATAGAAGGAATTCTATTCCCTGTGTTGAGTGATTCATCCATTCAGTCATTTATTCATTGAGTTGTCAGACAATCTGTGTAGTACCTACTATGTGCAAAATCATCTGTTTTAGCTTTATAATCTACCTGGAACTTTTTAGGTTATACCAAGCCTTATTCTGAGTAAATTTTTGTTACCTCTGATTCTCTAAATGGAAAAAGGTTTATGGCAAAATGTTTGCACTGTGTTTTCAAGGTGGTATTCTCTTTTGAATTCTTTATAAATTACTGTTTTATTTTGCCTAGTAACTTGTTAACAAGTGTTTATATTTATTGATTAAAATGTGATTGTTTAATTCCTAATCTGCTCAGTTTGCTTTCCTTTTGAAGTGTCTTTTTTTTTTTTATGGCAGTTGGAAAATGAGAAAACAGGATAAGAACTGAGCCTATGACTTGAACTCAACACAAAACATAATTCATGATTTCTTTTGAAGCTAGGACACTAATAAAACAAGTAAATAATCACTTAGGAAGCTGAAAATTTTCATGTAAATGGTTAATGAACTTGTAAAGCTGTTTGTGATGGACTGGCATTTATTAATTTGGCAACAAAATCAGATGGTATAAAAGTATCTTCTTTCAATGAGAGAACTAATTTAAGGCCAGTTCCTTAGACTTGTCCCTGGTTTCCTGCCATCTAAAATATACCAAATGTTCAAAACATAAGTGGTGATCATGAATCAAGAAAATCAACAAGCATCTACCCCACTGTTTTCAGAATTCACTGGCTGTTCTTTGGGAAATAGGCCATCCTATTAAAGTTCCCTATCTTAGAATATGCCCAAGTGTATTGTAATTTGAAGTAAAAACCATAGTACTCTAGTTATTTGCCTTGTAATCTTCATTAAATAGACAGACATGATCAGCATTAATTAATGTCAGCATTAATTTTTTTTTTTTAGTTCTCTGAGCAGTCATAGGTATTAAGTTTATAAATTATGAATATTACCTCATGCTCCTTAGTCCTGAGATATAAATCACTGTTGGAAAATAGCCTTTGTCTTTGAGTACATCATGGGGCAGATGCTCTCATTTACCAAGATCAGAAATCCTATCCCAAGTTGTTTATGTGTTCATACCCATCTCCATTCTTAAACTTTCTGATCTTTTTATGATCTGAAATTCTGATGAAAAATTACTCTAAAGGAGAACTCAATCCTGGTGAATACACATTCCTGGTTATTGTTAGAGTCCAAGCTTCCTCCTTGCAAAAATACCAAGCAGAACCCTGACTTCTATGAGGAAGATGCTTCCCTTGGCATCATGGGCTCAAGTCTGGGTTTCTATTTGCTTTTTCTCAAGGTGCCACTCGCCTATTTTAAGTACCAGCTTTAGGCTCTGTCCTGAGCTTTTTCCTCTGAGCAAACTTCCATAAACCATCATAAGCCGATTATATTTGTAAATTACCCAAAATAGGTCTCACAGTACTAGGATGCAGTATATTCAGCATGGTTTAAGACCTCATGGAAACCAAGTTTCTCTGTGAGAAAGAAAATAATGTTCACTGAAAGGACATGGACACTGGTTGGCAAATCCTTTCTCTTCTCCAGCCGTCACCTGAAATCTTTGGACTAGATACTCTGGGCACCAAGGATTGCCTCTTGACTTCCTCGGAACACACCCTTCTGTCTGGCTTTCCATCCGGCAGGTCCTTTTCCATCAGATGTCTGGACATGTGAGAAGCTGTGGTGGTCACCAATTTAAAGCAGCAGCAATGCATCTGTATCTTAAGGCAGGGACACAAAGAACAGTAGCCCCAGGTAGCATGCATTTCCAAAGGAAAGTTATCCTTCAGAGTTCTGCAAAGAACTTCAGAGTTCTTTGCAAAAATATGCAAGGTCTAAATGTCCTTTTACACTATTTTGCCTTATAAATGTTTTTGCCTTGTAAATACAATGTCTGTGCCCCACAACATCCACATCCCCTTGGAGCTTGTCAGAAATGCAGAATCCCAGGCCCTGCCCCAGACATGTTCAACAAGAACCTGCATTTTAACCAGAGCCTCAGAGGATCCACATGCATGTGACAGTTTGAGAAACTCAGTATTGACTGCGGGGACCACTTGTTTATACATTTTGCTTCCCCTGTGCACTGAAGCTGGAGCTTCATAATATTTTTCTGTTGTTTGGTCACTAAGTCGTGTCTGACTCTTTGTGACCCCGTGGACTGCAGCACACCAGACTACTCTGTCCTCCACTATCTCCCAGAGTTTGCTCATATTCATGTCTGTTGAGTCAGTGATGCTGTCTAACCATCTCATCCTCTGCTTCCCCCTTCTCCTTTTGCCTTCAGTCTTTCCCAGGATCGGGGACTTTTCCAATGAGTTGGCTCTTCCCATCAGGTGGCCAAAGTATTGGAGCTTCAGCATCAGTCTTTCCAATGAATATTAAGGGTTGATTTCAGGGAACAGCTACTCACTCCAGTATTCTGGCCTGGAGAACTCCATGGGGTCACAAAGAGTCGGACATGACTGAGCAACTTTCACGCTCCTTTAGGATTGGCTGATTTGATCTCCTTGCTATCCAAGGAACTCTCAAGAGTCTTCTCCAGCACCACAATTTGAAAGCGTCAATTCTGCAGTGCTCAGCCTTCACAGTCCAACTCTTACATCTGTACATGACTATGGGAAAAACCATAGCTTTGAGAATACAGACATTTGTCAGGAAAGTGATGTTTTTACTTTTTAATATGCTGTCTAGGTTTGTCATAGCTTTCCTTCCAAGGAGCAAGCATATTTTAATGTCATGGCTCAGGGATGATTTCTTTTAAGATTGACTGGTTTGATCTCCTTGTAGTCCAAGGGACTCTCAAAAGTCTTCTCTAGCACCATATGCCTAAAATGAATTCATGAAAGAACATAACATGTTTTGGAGCTTTCACGGAAGACGTTTCAAGCATGTCTTAATCTTCGGCAAAATCTTCTTGTGAAATTATATGATGCCGTTAATCTCCATGGTATACTTTCTATGCCCATCTCCATTTTAAGTGGGCCTTCTGCTGAATGATACAATAAGATTGTTTACATGTTCTCAAAGTGTTTGAGAATGTGAATTGCAGGCTTTAAAATGTCTTCATAGACTGAATGGGATTAAGGGAGTCATTCTTTGCATGGTTTTGTTGCAGGCAGAAGTTGTTGTGCACTGAAACCACAGATCCTTCCTCTTCCACCTGTCCTCCCAGTTGAGAGAATAATTGCCTCTCCCTCAGGCCAGTGTGCCCTCAGGCCATAGATCACCCTTGATAGATTTCAGTACTTTGTTTTGGATCAGATGGTAAATAATTCTGATTCATAAATCATTAGCACAGACACCCCAAGCACACATTTGGAAAGTCCCAGCCAGCACCACAGTATTGGTGGGGACATGGAAACACCTTTAGCTTGCAAGTTCATGCTTGACTAACCATCTAAAAGTACATGATCAACACCTGAAAACCCAAAAGCCAGATATGATGAGTTGACTTTAGCGTGAACTTTGGTTTATATAAATATTAATGACACTACAATTTTCCAATAAATTTGTTTTAAGCATTTAAAGCCAAACTGTGTCAAAGGATTTACATTTGGAAGGCACTTGGGCTTATAACAGCAGGAATACAAGCCAGGCATTTCTTAAGCTTTAATGGCCAGATCCAGGTAGAGGGCATGAGGTTCAGAAAGAATTTGGGAGAAAGGGAGGCAGAAGCAGTCTGATAGGTTTGGTCTAAATCGCTAGTTCCAGGGAAGTTGCCAGCTGGCCTAGTGGTTTGCCACTCCATGCTTTCACTGCTGTGGCCTTAAGTTCAGTCCCTGGTAGGGGAACTGAGATCCCACAAGCTGTGAAGCACGGCCAAAGAATAAAATAAATGAAATAAAATAAGTTGCTAGTTGCAGCTTCAGTTGTTTGAGGCATATCTTAGTCCTCACAACATCAAGTTCTTTTTTATGAGTCAGCATTAGCAGAGGTGCTTTTAACCATCCATATTTAGAAACTTGGCTCTGGACACTTCCCTGGTAGTCCAGTGGTTGAGAATTCGCCTTGCAATGCAAAGGACGCCAGTTCGATCCCTGGTCCAGGAGGACCCCACATGCCACGCAGCAACTAAGCCCGTGTGCTGCAACTACC